ATATGAAAGTGAGCACAAGCTCATCGAACTTGTTCGAACTTAGTTCGAACTGAGCGAGACGAGATCAAACCTGAGCAGTGAGTAAAAGCAAATATACCAAATTTTTTTATGCATACGACAAGCGCCTTTTACTCAAAAAATCGAGTTCGAGCAAAAGCTCACGTTTTATGCAAGAGACCCAATATTTTCTCTAAGATATTTTGTTAATCTTGCATTTTTTGTTAGCAAGTTGAAATTTGGTAAAACCTTGTTCATTTCTTTAGCAAAACAGAATTGAAACCGATAAAAAAAATTTATAAGGTGTTATAAATTGAGATATTGGTTTGATGTTCGAAACAGGTTTTTTGGGTACCACACAAACAATTTTATTGAGTTTTATATCAGAACAAATCCAAGAAGATAGACGCTGACAGATTTGAAATTTAAGTTAAGAATAAATTATGAATTTACTTTTAATTATTTTTATTGGGAAAATATAAAAATAAATCGCGAAATGTCATAATTAATGCGATTATGAAAAAATGCAAATATTTTAAAAATTAGTTCGCCTAAATTTTTATGAGTTTACTTTTGGTGGTAGGTCAATGTACGGAGAATATATTATATATTTAGATGTGTTTATTTTTATGTTTCATTCACCGAGATGGGTGGAATCACCGATGCAACTGAGACCCTTTGTTTAGACTGTCACACTAGATGATGGAGAATAACAGGAGAATAAAGCAATAATGAATCACAACGCTTCGACGAAATTAGGGAGGAATACATAAATATATTGTATAAATGTATAGTGTTGAAGAAGAAATAATAACAAGTAATTAATACCCATAAAATCATTTTTATTATCTTATTTAAGAACAAAATTTATGTGTTCTGTCATGAATAATGTTGCATTTATTTTTAATTACTACTGGGAACTCCGAAAGTCCGTTATACAACATTACGGCCAGATGCATGAGCAGTATTAAACTTATACTCTTTGAGGTTAATTCGCGTAAACGGTTTTGATAAAAACACTTTTTCTTACATAGTTGCTAGCAACCTGAATGAACAATCTATTCTCGCATATTGCCCATACGCGGCATTATTATTTTTATCTTTTGCCATCTATGTATATCAGAAATTCCCGACTAGTTTTATCCACTGACTGCAAATGTGCATATGCGCGAGCTTATAGAACGAGTTAAAGTTTGTAATACAATAATTTTTGTCAAATTGATGCAATGACCCACTCCCAGTTGGTAGGATTCCTCTACAAAAAAAAAAAAAAAACGCGAAGTTGCTACTAATTGAATTAGGTGTAAGTTTGGAACTGCAAGTCTCGTTAAATGACAATTAATTCGAATATCTGTTTAACTTATATTAAAAAGAAATTTCAGATTCTGTGACACAATTCATAATCAGAATTGATTTGCAAATCTAAGTAAGGAAAACCACATAAACCTATTAATTGTGGGCATGCTATTTGTAAAAGCAATCTCTCAATAAATGTAAAAACTTCATATAAAAAAAGCTTAAGAAACGGTCAAGTAACTTTCCTGCGATAAATTTACTTGTGCTAGTATGCAGCTCTAAAAAATCTAGTACTAATTTGTAATAAATTTTTTCAATAAAATGGAAAAATGGCAAACCTGGTTTTGCG